TTGTCGTTACTATGAATATTTTCCCTCGCATAAAAGACTATAAAAATCCGTTTCACGAGACTCCGACGTGGGCAGACTATCATCAGTTATTATCGAGCCTGCATGGTCAATAGTGGCGTTATTCTTAGACCCGGTGCAGGAAAGGCTTTCACTCAAAGCGTTCAAAAGAACGTCAGCGGAAAAAGCACCGCAGTGTCAACAGTGCAAATACATGTCGATGATGAAATTGTGGTTTCAATCTTCCCATCAAACTGCATACAAACGCCATTACGCCGCGCGATATAAAACTAGCTCCTGATCTCCAAAATTGCTCTCGTTGTTAAGAATTGTTACTTGCGCATCATTTCACGGAATTCTTGAGAAAATATTCATCGCGTATAAAATAAATCAGTTAAGTATAATATAAATAATGTAAAATAGTCAAGTTTTCAAATAAATAAATTTATAAATAACATTTTTTTTTTGCTTAATCTTTCTGTTACAAGTACAAGCTACATCAGATAAATTTTTCTCTGCAACGTGAAAATAATGCGAACAAAAATAATATCAAAAATGCGAGATCTAAACTATCTAACTAAATTATTGAATTAAATTCTTCAAAATAATGCCTAGAAAATTTAATTTCGATAGCAGCTGTTCTTTTTTCTCAAACAGTGTTCCGAGCTTTCTTGGTGGGAAAAACTCTTTTTCGCGACGCATAAAGAACTTTTGCGCAACGCCAAGTCTTTAGCTTCCATTTCTCAGGCTTTTCTTCCGAACAGTGGACTCTCAACTGTTTAATTAATTTCCACACCAGTCTTTCGCCCTCTCCTTTTCTCTTTCCGAACACCAGCTCATCTTTCCAGAGAATCCTTTACCAGTATTTCTCGGAAAAGACTAGACCTTTGTCACAGCCCTGCGAGTGCATCTGACGCGAACATCGCCTAGATGCACCTGGGTATCTTCGTTAAAGCTTCACCCCTAGCTCTCTTTGCTCGCAACCCTTGGTCACAGTCCGGCTCGAAAATGAGATCGTCGGCGCGAAAAGCGTGAAAGGAATTTCCACTAGATGGAATTTACATAGTCTGTGTTATCTTTGTCGACGCGCAATGTGATAAAACTAAATGTCCGACAGAATGGAGTATTGAAGCCACTGTGATGTACAGAGACAACTGCATAAAGACAACGTACGCGTAGTATCCTTGATGTTTTAAAATTATAGACTGCGAAATCGGATTAATGGCTCGAGTAATACGATATAACAGCGAACGTGTACGCCTCTAAGTAACTGTTTTCTAACTTCATTAAGAACTTCGCGCTCTTTAATTGATCTCTTTCACTGAAAGTTGCACACGAACCTTTTCGAATCCTATATAAATTTGACAGCAATATCGACAAAATTACGTATAAAATACAATACTAAAAAATAATAAAATAAATTTTTATATAATATCTCTTCTACTAATCTAATTCTATCCAATTTACGCACCTTTTATTTTGATGTCTGTACTTATTCTTTTATATTTAGCATTATTTATAGATAATTTATTGCACGGGTTTGATAAAAACACGACAGACGTCACTATCCATCCATTTGTCTCTTGAGACACACTTGCGCAAATATATGGAAATACTTGCACATGTAGATATCAATCTCTTAGTACGATCAAGAGAAATTACCTAAAAACTGAAGTTTGATCGACAACGTTAGATCGGAAAAATCTTGAAAATTCCATGAGAGAAATAATTGTCAACAGTCCAATCACAGGCGCAACCACTTTCAGCAATCTCTAGAATCTTAACGAAAGAGAAAAATATAGAACGTGGGCGTGCTTAAGAGACTTACACGAGAGCCATTGTTCTCACTCTTCTCTCGTCGACGACAGTAAGAACGACAATACGTACAAAACGTAGCTAAGGACGAGGGAATCTGGCCAAGCAGAAATGAAGAAATTAAACGGCACAATGCGACCCATACATCTTGGAGTTCTGCCAATATCCATCCTTTTCGACCAATCCTTTTCGTTTCGTCTTTTATTCACGAGACGAATAATCAACTCGATCGTCAGTTCGATAAACGTAAGGTTAAATAATCGAATGCGCGAAACGTCACGCTTATGCTAATCGGACCTAATCGGATGATCGCGATCGCGACGAAATGGTGGCGAAACGCGCCTCTTTAAGCGCGCGTCTCTTGACGGCCAAATTAACCGTGCCGCTGTTATCGTTGCATCGACGGCGTGCAAAATTGCGGATCGCGTGCCGCTGATCGCTGCGGAAAGATTAGCGAAACGCGATAGCTTTACCCGACATGATGAAGAAATGATAAACGTGCCCGAGGAATGTAAAAGCGAATCACGTGAGATAATTTATAAAGGAGCTAACAATATGAATTACGCCTATTATGTTATCAACTCTCATAACACGTCTGAAATTTAACCATATAAATTACATTCATTATATATTTATTTTGAATTATCTATTGCTGAATTATCTATTTAACTACAAGCTCTCATAAATTCAATTGAGACCAATAACTGCGTTGTAATAATAGCTCTTTTTCAATAGATTATATTATATAATATGCCTTCTCCATTTTAAATCCTTTGATAAACTATGGCTTTCATATCTTCCATCAAGCATAAAAGGGCAAAGTAAAAGGCTCTTAGTCAAAGAATTAATTGATTAAATAATCAAATTAATAGTAAAATTAAAATTTAGAAGTTCTACGCTAATTTATTTGCCATTATTTTATAGTACTTGCATTATTTTATGAAAATCCACGTGTGAGATTTAAAAAAATGACAAATTAAATTCAAAAATTTGGGAGACTTCAGGCTTTTAAGATTTCTCCGATAAATGAACCTGTATACATCCTCGCGCATTCCTGTTATTAACGATCGCTCAGAAATATGGTGAACAACCAAACTTGAAATTAAAACGCTGATAAATCACGGGTGATACAGAAAAATCGATAATTCACCAAGTCAAACACATTAGGAAGACACGCAGGAAAGTTACAAACTGCCGGAAAAATAAAGAACTTCGAAGAGCAGAAACAAAAGTGAGAAATTGTCACACACACACACGCGCACACACACACACACACACACACACACATGAGAAACACCGAGTTCTAGGGCCAACGTATACACAGATAAAAAAGAGAGGCAGATATATACAGACAACAAACGGAGAATCACGTCAACGACTCGTAGAAATAAACTGAAGAATCACATCGAGAAAATACAGCGAAATTCACATCGAGAAGATACAGCGAAAATGTGCACGACTCTTGTGCAGTTAAGGTGCAACGGCAAAACTGACAGTGAAAAACACGTTGTTGGAGAAAACACAGAATGGTGAGAAGGCTATTAATCGCAAAAATCTACACGCACCTAAGAAAAATACGGAAAAGCAAAAATATTGCGCTTGATAAATTTAACATTAACAATTCCATATACTTTTTGCAATATTTTTGTAAAGACAGCATTGTTAATAAACATTAAAATATAGCTGCAAAATCGCAAACTCTGACTTCTGATTATCTTTTTCCTTAGGCATATGTAGAATGTATTTTATATTGGCCAACGTGCACACACACACATACACACTTAAACGTGAAGAAATCACACAATATTGCACAGATATTATTTACAGACAGTCTTGGCCCAATTTTGTCAAGTACGCCAATCTTACGAAAGAATCTTTTCCGTGCGACAACTGTACAAGGATTATTTACAGTTTCGGTGGGGGGATAGAAACTTGACGAAGAAAAAAATATAACTAACGCTCGGCGACACTATATCGATGGCTAAGTGTGCTCCCGATATGGACCAGCTCGCGGACTAATTGTCAAAGCGAGCTCGTTCTCTATTTCTACGTCATCCAGAACGGCCGATGTCACCGGCCTAAATACTCAGAAGCGAGTTCATCCAATTATCGGAGAAGAGCATTCTTTTGAATTTCCCGATCCGAGCGCAGAATTTACGCCTGGTGTAAGTAACCCAAATATCAAACTAAAATGTATTAAGTGAAAGGTGATCTCTTTGAAAATCCGAAAAAAAGTAACAAAACGGGAACATGTAAAAGATCAGCAAAGTGCACTTCCGTGTAAGAAACAAGGAGAGAGTGAGAGAGTAAAGCATCGAATTAGAAACTTAGCCGAATTTCTTTCGGAGTATCCTTCATTCTTCCGTTTACTCGTCCCACTTCCGTCGGATTTTATACACTGCAGTCACGAGCTTTCTCTTCTTTCATCTCTCCCTGCCCTTCCGCAAGGCAGATCACCTTTTACGATGCGTGATTATATTCAAATTAATACGTATTAATCCACACACGACATATATAGACAGACGCACACGCGCGAGCGCACACAAGCACACGCATACGTAGCCAAGTGTGAATCGCGTCTGTCGACAGAGAGAGACGCAGTTAATGCGCACAAAAGCCACCTGGCAATGTACAATGTCAGCGCAAAATCCACCGCCGAGGGATATGCCGTGTACATAATTAAAAGCGCCGCTAATCGCATTAGCAGAGACGTCGGAACGCGCGCGGATAAGGAAGACTATCATCCGCCGCCGCGTTCATCTGTGATCATTGTTAACGCGATTAATCGGATTTCTAACTTCGCCGTGACAGGCGGGTGAGAACACGGCGTAGAACTGCTGTAGCGTTATGAAGAGTATAATATTTACAGCGAGTATTATTTTACAGACAGGAGAGAGCAAAAGAGAGAGACCAAAGAGACACTATATACACAGGAGTACAATACGAAGACAAAGCAACACCACGCTGGGCCAAGAAAAACAGAAAGAAAAAGAAAAACGTGTGTAATGAGTGTACTGTACATCGTGTGTCTGAGTATGTGTACCGTGTGTATTATCCTCGTGGGTGGGTGTGTGTGTGTGTGTATGCGTGCGCATGTATGAGTGGACTGTAAGTTATCTGACTGTGAGTTGTGCGTGTCGTTTGACTTTTCGTTGATTTCGTTTTCTTTTTCGTTTGTCATATGATACCTTGGCACTTCATGCCCTGGTGGATGACACCATAGAGAAGACTACCGCAGTGGTCACAGAAGGCGGGGCTGTTGTAGGTGTGTTGCTTGAATTGGTGCTTCGTCCGCGTGTCCTGCGTTATTACACCATTACACCGTGCACACACACACGCAGATTTTTCGGACCTCAATGATGGTGACGCGAGAAAGGGAGGAGGGAAGCATGATCGCAGGGACGCGGTGATCGTAGGGATAATCGATCGTGGATCGTTGGATTTCCCAGTCAGTTGCGATTAAGCGCAACGTCTGAGTTCGAGTAACGACATTTGACCTTAAATCGCGGCGAGTAAAAAATTTCTCAAATCGAATTGCTACTGTGATCTCTTCGTGCGGAATCGAGCACCGCCTGATATTTGAAGAGATCAGACAATATTTCAACAAGTGTTTAGTACTAATGACAAAATCCAATTTCTTTTATCTATTCTTCGATTAGTTCGTTACAAATTTCGTTATCAACGTTAAATATGCTTATCGATTTTTAACAAGTAACGCAAGCCATATTAAAGAGCGAAAACAGTTAAAACTTCTCAAATTACATATATATTTTTTATCGCTTGTGTAATCTTCCATAAGTCATGAAAGCATCAGAATTTATTAACATTTTATGATTGCACGAATGCACGATATAAATACGTTTTATATAAAAACCTATTACTTCTCAATTTTTCTTTTATTTTAAAAGCAATGATCATGCGTCGAAGATAAGATAAAAAATTATTAGAAAACAATTTGAAAAGATAGAATATTAAAAATTATATATACGTATATAACTATTATATTGAAGTATCTTTGAAAAACGATTAAATTAAATCAAATATTTAAAGAAACAAATAAAAGTTAAATAAGTGGAACACACTTGTCGCTGCAAAAATGTTCAATTGCAGTAAAAAATTTTCTTCGATATCAAAAGATTAAATGTCACAAGAGTTTCCTTCAACTTTGTTGAAATAAACAATAATTGCGTTACTATCAACTCCCAATGAAACAAAGTATCCCCAAAAGAATATAATTTTAACTTCGTGTATAGTTCGTGAAATAATTTCAAACTCTAAAAAATTTCCCGTAGGAAAAGGTACTTTAATCCAATATATTTTTATCTAAAAGCGAGTTGCTATTTTAAAAACGCTGTAACGTCCTCCAAGCTTTTAAAGTTTAATGAACATAGCTTTTTCGACTTTCTCTTAATTATCATCGTTGCACGAAAACAGGGTCGAACGTCGCGCTCGAGACTGGCGGCAATTTAAACATCGACAGTGTTCTTCAAACTTGCAGAAGGCAAACTTGCAGCAAAGCGGCGTGGAGTCGCGGCGGCGAGTCTTAAATCTAAATAGAATCAAGCAGCATCCCAGCCTGTGTTGCGGCAACTCTCCGAAACCACTAACAGTAGCAGCTGCCGCCGCTGCTGCTTCCTGGATAACGTTCGAACAGATAGCGGAAACCGAAACAAGCTCGCAGGAAGTTTCACGGGGTTTGGCGGTTACTGCAAGTCCAACGCGCCACGGATGCATTAAACCTTTTGCTACTTCCGTTTACCGCGAGAATGGGTACCTTCGCTTCGCGCGGTGAGAAGTTTGGCTGGTCGAGGCGCGAACTCAATTAATCGGTTCCAAGTAGTTCATTATTCGTGACCACCTCGTTAATGGTAATTAACGACAGTCAAACGGACATGCGACACCGCCGTTCTTAGATGCCGAAGTACGCAGGTAGAGCGGAGAAATATGTAAACTGCGTCGTCAACCGTGATACAATTACGATGCTTGTAGTGTAATCGGAGACCTTATCGAGAATTAAGAGAATCTAACGTTCTGCCAATTATCTCGCAAAGACATGATCTACTAATAATTATTCAAGACATAATTACATAATCCCGTAATTCTAATTCTTTTTTCTCTTCAAGGAAAATAGCGAACAGACCAAAGAGCTGATAGACTGATCGCCGAAGAAGATTCGGATCCGAAAGAGCTCGAATGTTTGCATCAACGGATATGACATCGGATATTCACAAGGTAATACCGCGAAACGTTAATGCACCAATGCCGCTCAGCAAAGCTTACAGTACACATGCAGGGAGGGAATATTCGCGAATTCTCCATTCCCGCGTTTGTTAACTGTGCGACTTTCCGTGCGCCGGTGGGATAAAGAAAAAAACAAAGCTCTATCTGCGTTCGCTCTTGTGCGCGCATTTTCTTCTTTGTCGCAGCTCGCGTCCAACAATGAAACAGCATTATGCGACTTACGGGGAAATCCACGATCGCCGATATTCGCGCGGATCAATAGGCGCGGAAAGGATTACCTTTGAAGCGCAGAAGCACAGGAGGGTGGCGGGACGAGGAGTCAGCGCCCAGGATCAAAGGAAGACAGCGGGAACTCTCTCTCGATTAGTTCATCGGAAATTCTCAGAGATAAGTAAAACCTTTCTCCGACCCGAGACAAAGGGAAAACGTTCGCGGCTCGAATGTCGGGGTCTTTCTTGACATACCCCTTAAAGACTTGGTGACTGTTGGACGTGAAACGCAACACCCGGTATTGTTTCCGGATCGCCGTTCTTAAATGTAGGGTGCGCCCGCATTAACAAACAGCTCATATTTTCCTGATATTATTCTTTTTATATCTTTTTGAGTGACACTTTAGCGTCGTTAAAATTAAACTAGAAGTGCTCAAGTCGGCTTTTCAGCTAAACGAGCGACACCATTTGTATTTATTATCCGTTTAGGGTGAGAGAGAAATATTTTCTCGCGAGCGACTTTTATCGGCCTTCCCCAAAGTGATTTTGTTTTCACACGGGGAAAAATTGTTTCGAGCCGAAAACGCTTTGCCCTCGCAGGCGAACACATCGGAAATACGACGTCCCGACGTATTCGATGATCGTCGCGCGAACGTGGTTACAAGCGTGATTAAATCAAGCGCACAAGGACGCGGTGATTTGAAGGCCGATTGGCGGTGAGCGTCGTGCGAGACAAATGTGAAAAGAGAATGTACAGCCCTTAGCCCCCGGGTGTGGTTGTTCCCCCCGCCATTCCCTCCTCTTTATCCCAGCCAAGGATCTCCTTATCTCATTATTCCGTTATTTTCCCGGCATTCCGGTCTTGTTAACTCGTTGCTCTTTTAAGCGTCGCGAGTCCTGTCAACCGAGAGATAAAAAGGATACACCGGAGCTGAGCGCTATACTCGGTACATCGTGATAAATTTCACTCCACTCACGCTGAAACTTTACCTCCCGTATTTCGGCTATGAAGAAATTTGCGGTGGATGGCATGATAATTTTCACATTTTAAAGTCCTTTTTAACGTCCTGACACTAGACATTTTATCGCGGAATATAAGTTGTTAATAAACTAATTTTTCTCGTTTAATAAGATTTTACTTTTAATAAAAGTAAAGGCGCTGGAAACTCCTTACAAACATGACGAAAATAAATTAAACGTCACATACAAGGAGAAACATTTTTAATATCTGCAGAAAGTTTTCTAATTAAAAATTCGTGCTGTTTGCTAGTATTAAAAAAACATACATTGCATCTCTTAGCAACATAATTTTACGCAATGTTTTTATGTAACTTGCCAGATACACGAATAATTTTGAGAAGTGGTTCGTGATTTTATAACTCAATTAATTTCTCTTAACAGTTCTCCTTAATAGTTTTATTAATGTATTATAGCTATATTAGCATTTATATAGCATACATATTATTAGCATAAATATGCTACAAGGCTCTCTCGAGTGTTTCTATAAATGATGATGTAAACGCAACGCCGTAATTTTCCAAGAGACGCTACGTGATTTTATAGCCTAATTAATCCGCTTCTGTCAGTGCGTGTCATGCTAAGTAGAGGCTACTCTGTTACGGGCAGATTGACCGAACGAATTACTAAGGCGCACTACGCGTACGTTATTATTATCCATTTACAAGGTGACGGCGTGCGATTTATCGCAACCTTCGAAAATGACCTCGATATTGATTATGCTGCCGCTCTTCCCCAACCCTTTAGCACCTTACGACAACGGGACAGTGGACGACGTTTCACGCGCGTTTAGCAGCGGCCGTGCAGCATCCAATTAGCGTACACTTAGCTGAACGCCGTGCTTGTGAACCACCGTCACGTACTTCATTCTCCCACGTTCACACGCGGAACTTAATTCTCTTTTGCGGTTCAAACTAATGTAATGAAAATTCCTCTATGATGTACAGTACATTTTTTTATCGCTATCGCCCGAATGTAGTTCAGGGTTGCTACAGAGATAGAGTTCGAACATTCCACTAACTTTATCGACTTTTTCGATAAATAAATTTCTTTCCTAATTATCGCAAATTGAGACGCTAACTTAATTACCAAGATTCAAGAGAAAATTAAACTTTTTGTCTTTTATCGCTATACTTTCTTTATAAACTGCTTCTTTAGTAACTGCTAATAATAACGATTTCTTTTTTTTTGCACAAGAAATTATATTTATAATAATTTCTTATGTGCCATTATAATTCTTGTACTAAAACTTTTTTATTAAAATCACCTCAAAGGGGATCAGTAGTTCTTACTGATTAATCACAACTTTTTTCACATCACGGGAGAAATAATCTCATTTCAGTTGCAATTCTCATGATACTCGAAAATGATGATAAACGACTTAGCACGTTGTATAAATTATAATAGATTTGACAAAGATGTCAGCATTAAGGTGTTATACGATTTCAAGTCGTTCACAAGAAACGAATTTGACGTACGCTATCTTGAAAAATATCTTACATCATCATCTATCACAGCCGAGAGACCTTTGGTAATAATTATTTTATTAAAATGACATATTAATGTTTGATATATTGACGGACGTTCCCTCTTTTACGAAACACTCTCAACTTTTTGAGAATCAAAGAGCCGCGATGATGAGCTACGCGCCTACACGGAGCTTTAATAGCTAACGTGTCAAACAGTTATTTGACTCTCCCGGCCAGCTTGACCAGCCCTCAAGCTACACTCGGTGACCTATTTCCGCTATAAAGAGACTTTTGTTATATTTCTGACGTTTTGACCCATCCTTACAAACACCGTAGTTAGTATCACGAGCGTAGCATATAAACTACTTGGTTAAAACAACTTTCATATAAGAAAACACTTGAATATTATGTTTGAAAATTGAGAAACTTAGGAACAATGTAGATAGTTGCAAAATTTTCCTAACAGTAGTGTTAAAAATCTCAAATTCGAACAATTTCTACATTTTCGAACTTCCAATCTTCAAATGTTACGCGAAAATTATATCATAAATATCATAAAGTTGGCAAAGTAAAACTGATAAATATAAAGTTGTAGCACATTTGCTAAATTATTATTGCAATAAACTTCATATCGCAAGTAGCACGATTCACATATTCATCAAATATGATCTATCAAGTATAAAATTGAGTCTTTATGGCAAATGCATGTTTCACGTGATCAATTTGTAAGATTTACGGAAGCTCGTAGAGCTTTCTATTCTCCTCGAAAAATGCTTCTTTCTTACGCCAAGAAAGAATCTTTGGCTGAGGACAAAAGGAAGAAAAAGGCGAGATCGCTTGAGCGGTAAGGAAGGTGTGGAGAGGAGAAAAATATTCGGCATTAAATATAATGTCAGTACTCACATCCGAGTCGGCTCCTTTGTCAGCTCCCGGACACGTAAAGGTTACGTATTCGTGACATCGCTTGTGAACGACGAAACTACAAACTGAAACACAAACAAAACGAGTCCCAAGTTTCTCCTTAAGGTCACACCTGGACAAGTAGGGGAACTGATGAGATCGGTCTGACCCTCTTACCTTGGCATTGGTATCCTTGTTTCCCAAAGCCCCTGTAACATATAAGATAAACTCGTTAGTAAATGCCTCACGTAATAAAAGAATCAATAATATACCGCGGACGATATCGCAATATTGCTAGCAATGCTAAAATCCTCGAGAATTTTGCAGAATATCAGTTAGATACATCAAATAATTAACAACGATTTTTAGAAGTAATTAAATTATCAATTATCGCATAATAATAGTCCAATGAAGGAAATTAATTAGTTACAATTAAAGTGTATAATGCGTTAGAGTTAATAAATAATTAAATACATTGATGGAAAAATCTACTGATAAAAGCGTAAAATGAAATGGATATTATATTGAAGATTATAGGATGAAATTTGGCATAGTCGCAAAGCACAATGTAATTTTCGTCTCTCGAATTCTCAGCGGAACGTTAATTGCAGGGACGATTTATGGATCAGGGAGGAGTTCGCGTGATTCGTTGTCGGCAGCCAAAATAATTTCAGTCACACAAGTGCTTCAAATTAAGCATGGCTGCTAATACGTAATGCGATACTTATAGCGTCGTGCGCAATAATGAGATTATGAGTGGTACGTTAGTCGGTCACGGATTGTTTTCATATTCTGTGACAATTTTGGAACTGCTATTTTCACTAGAAAGAATTTAACAAAGCTGGTCATTATTTCACGCTACATAGAGAATATAATTTCAGTATATCATTAACAATAAAGTGAGAAATGTTGCAAAATTAATTGTACGAATTTCACTTTAAAAATAATAAGCTTTAAAAAAAACAGATTTAAAAATTGAAATCTTGCAATATTAAAAAACACAAATTTTAAAATTTATATAAAAGTCTAAAAAAACTGGAACTTTAATTAATTAAGTTAATAATAATGAATTTAACGCTGAGAAACGAAACCTGAGAAAATAGAAAACCGAGAGTTGTATAATTAATATATTCTCTGTTATCTCTTTTTATTCAATTGAACTCTTCGATTACTTGAATATTTTAAACGACTTTAATATTAATAAATACAGCGCACGGTGTAGTATAATAAGTAACCCATTTCTGTCGCTACCACCAGGCTCGTTAATTAGCGCAAGCACCCTTTTACGTAAATACGTTATTAAATACGGTTATTAAGAGTTAGTCCCTTCTAAAATTTAATAGCGCATTCACGGCGTCGCAACGTCTGGAACGGACAATAAAACAGAGATAAATGCCACGGAAAGATTCTACGGCAAGAGTCTACAAAGGGGAAGTCTCTCAGTCTTACGGAGAGATTCTCTAATCTACGTCGATGCAGGACCAAGCCTCTATAGACGGCGACAGCCTCCGATTAACTCTCGCGACGAAACTTTGACGAAAGGATTCTCAAAATAGTGATTTTATCATTCCAACAGTTTCTCTCTCTCTCTCTCTCTTTCTCCCAAGGGAGTACATCAGATTTCACGGCTTTTCGATGCTATAAAGCGCCGATCAAAGGCCGGCACTGCTAACTCCTTTCTCGAGGATAGCCAATCACAAGGGTTCAAACTTTCTACGATCCTCGAAAACAGTTACCCCTCACGTGGAAAGCGGAATTTTAATGACATTCCCGTTTTCGTTCCCGTTAATTCCTCGTGATTACTTCGACGTTCGTTCGAAATTCTATTTTCTTCGTCGATCTCGCGTGACTTACCGAGATTTTAATTTACCGGGGCGTGACGGAACACACCATCTTGGAATCAAACGTAATATGAGTAATTGAAAGAGATTGGCAAATAAGAAAGATTGTACTAAAAGCACTACATTCTACGAAATTATTTTATATCGAGAAAGACCTTTGATCTTTTATACCAAAAGATCAGTAGTAGTACTAGCTAAGTAAAAGATTTTGCACGGGCGCTTTTCATAAAATTATTTGTAATGCATAAAATAAATGTAAAACGAAATTTTTCATGCTTTGTGAAAATAAAATGGAAAAAGAGAAATATTACTTTAAAAAGTGATTTAATCGCAGATTTTTATGCTTGACAATTACCATCTTTCTGACGCTAGAACACTTCTACTTCTTATGTAAAACAATTGCTTTAAAATTTTGATTACTCTAAAATGTTGATGATTATTCAAGTGTTATTGTGACTTAATCGAATCTTAATTAAATTGTCGCGCAAATTATTATTCGCTCCGTTAGCATTTGTTACATCGAAATTTCGCTGCAATCGAGCAATTCTGAGGCAGCTGATATTAAATCGGAAATACCGTAAAATAGCAGCTTACTGAGTTGCGTAATACCTATACCTCGTACAATCTGTACCATACATATTTCCCGCAGCAGTGACGCGCGATCCTGTGACACACACTACACAATGCGCGTAAATATTTGCAGTGTCAAGTAGATGTGCTAGTTGCCTGCTTTCTCAGCGTTCGATCTCCCGTTTGAAAAACTCCATAGATTTATTATTAGACACAATATATTACGTGCCGATTTAATAATATTATCCATTAATTAAATTTCTGATAATTCATGACTAGATTCACGAGTATTTTATTATCAGATGCATCTGTGAAAAATATCCCAAGAATATAAATGATTTAAAATGCATTTTCTTTTTTCGACGAATAAGAAATCGACATTTATCTGACGTGAGCGTCAAAGTTATTTAATACAGTTATTTAATACAGATAATAAAATAAATTATTAATAAAGTTATTTAATGCAGACAATAATATACAGTCTCTAGATACTGTACGTCAAAATTCATCTGTGGCTAATCCTTCTTGCTGTTATTACATGTGCCGTTAACCAGAACTAATAAAATCTTGAACTTTAAAATTTAATAAATGGAAATTAGTAATCAGAGTTAACCTGGATTCTAAATCACCCAGAAAATTGAAACAGCCGGATATATCTCGAAACGAGAAATTTATGTAACATTCATTCGTACGTCCTACAAATTGGGTATCACCGGTTGTTCGATATTTACTCGATTCCGCGCCAGCATACAAGTGTGTGCCCCATGCACACACGCACGCAATTAACAGTTAGGAAAATATCGGCCGTACATTTGACCAGCAATCTTTAATTATGCGGACAAAGTGCAAATTTTAAATGTTTGATCGAGCGACAATCCGGCATGATGAATGCGATAAATCACTAACGGCTGGGATGCTGCGGATCTACGAAACCCGATGACATCGATGAAACCCCCTTTCTCAAGCAGATGCTTTTCATATCGCGCATATTTATTGCCCCCGATGAATATCCATGATCTTCATTATCGTCTGCACACAATTCCCTTTATGGAATTAAATTGATTAAACTTTTATGGAAATTTTTTCATAAAGAGTGCAAAGCGCAAAAGGGAAATCATTTTAATTTGCGCGTTGTAATTACGCAGAGATGCGTGAATCCACACCTTGTCTGATTTATCCGAATCGTAAATCCTCTTTATCGCGTTGCAGCACACGCATCGTCTCTCACTCACCATTCTTACCTAACGTAAACACGAGTGACACATTTATGACTCCTGCTTCATCTCGTCTCTCGCATGCGTTTAATCCTAACGAGCTCTGCGATATAACAACATTACATTGTGACGTTTAATTACGCAATAATAAAAGGAAATTGCTAATCAAAAAGTTCTGAAATTGCGATATATTCGCAAGAAGAACAGGTAGAATGTTCATTTTCAACGGTAGATAAAAGTGCATTTTAACGTCGACCATTGTTTACGGGCTTTAACGGGTGAGGACTCTATGCTGGACCGCCGATTAAATCTACTTCAACGAGCAAATCAATATTTCAAGGTTCCGCCGAGCACCCGTGCCGGCAACGATCGTTAGAAGTACATTTCGACGGCTAGTCGTTGCTAGTTTTTCGATTAAATTGCACTTTAGTGAATCATAATAACAGAGCTGAATCTAAAAAAGTCGCCTTTCATAAATTTGCAACCGCACGTGTGCTCTCCACGTTTCATTGCTCGAGTTTCCTCGAAGAAATACATATGGATTTTTAAACGCGCATATCGATAGCTTCGAGATTGCGCTCACGTGTTCGTATTCTCAATAAAAGTAAATGTATTAAATATTGCATTTATATGCGCCATGAAAATTTACATTTTATTCAACGAAATGATGCCACAAACTTCTGAAGACGGTGTTTATTTTCGAAAATAAATATTACTATTTGATACAGAAATGAAATACTTTGAAATTCTTTATGTTTCCTAATATATAATATAATATATTTATACTATACATTTTTCATTCAAAAATTGTGTGTATATATATATAAATTTCTCAGGCTTTATATACATATATGTATAAATCCTGAAAAATTTAAATCTGTAAACACCTACTTTATTCCGTCATTCGAAGCATCGATCATCTATCTAATCGTCGCCTCATGTCGCTAATGACAATCATGCTAGGGAGTCACGGTACGACGACGATGTTGCACCAAAAATAAACGAGACCTCACAACGGCATCGATGACGCACATCGAGCAACGCAAAGAACGCAACAAAAAAGGCGTCGCGACGTCAAAGGTTAAGGGTGGAACTCGTACAAAGGAAAGAAAGAAGCCGCGTAAGATAAAAAGCAGAGATGCAGAGCTTTCTTACCAGTGTTGTTTGTAACCGAAAGACAAGTACCGACAATAGTGAAGGAAACAAGGATAACAAAAAGTGCGACAATCTGTGATTAGCCTACATTGTTGCAGAGCTTAGATCAAAACGCGGAGAAGCACAACTCAACGTGGCTTCGCAGTGCCATGTGCGCGTACGCAAAATTGCACTGAAATAAAGAAGAACAAAACGAAATTAAACAGGAAAAGCCGTGATCTTTTTACGAATGTATCCAGTTATGTATCTAAATGAGGTAGTCTGATTAATATTTATGACAACAACTGTATGCAAAATTTTTACAACTTTCTCTATATAAAAATTTGCATTTATATTTAACGACCAATACAGAATACTAAAATCAAGGATTGAAGTCGGTGCTCTAGAAATTTATTTTGTTAATTAATTTCTAATATTATAAGTACGCAA